TTATTTAAGTAAATCTATACTTACGAGACGTAAGTATAGTTAATCTAAGTTTAAGCAAACTACGCTTCCTCATACACGTGCGCTAACGTGTAAGCCGAAGTAGTGGGCATGAAGCAAGCCCATTACAATCCTTGTTGGTGAGCAAGGATCAAGAAGAGACGGTCGAGCATGTGTTGCTCCCGAAGCGGAACGAGATGGTCGAGCATGTGTTGCTTTCGAAGCTGAACGAGACGGTCGAGCATGTGTTGCTCCCAAAATTGAACCGAGTGGTCGAGCAAATGTGGCTCCCAACGCGAAGAACGGTCGAGACTCTCCCGCAGAGCAACGAGGCGGTCGAGCACGTGACACTCTCGCGGACTGATATGGAGGTCGAGCTCGAGACTCTCCCGCAGAGCAACGAGGCGGTTGAGCACGTGCCACTCCCGCGGACTGATATGGAGGTCGAGGACGAGGTGGTCCCGTCACCCGACGACGAGAATTCGTCGGTCTCGAGTTCGTGCTGGAGGCGGTCGGAGAAATCAAAACGCAAGAAGAGCTCGCGTGGGCGCCTAAACTGGTCACGCTACACTCCACCTTGTTGGGAGGATAATGCTGATCGTGTCGAAGTGCTGTCCGTGCTGGAGTTCTCCACAGTGTGCCGAATCAGCTTCCTTCCATCGAAGTTGCAAGCCCGGCTTCCGATGCTGCGTCGATTACCAGTCTCCCGGGTTTGACATGGAAACACTTTCTCCGGGACTTGAAGGCAGGAGAAATCGAACAAGTCTGTATGATAACCAACGGCGACACTTCTCCCGTTGCACTGAACGCGGTCAACGACGTGGCGGAGTCGTCACGACCAGCGGCGGCTGAGCCAAAGTCGGCGCGAGAAGAGCGGTTTACGGCTCAGTCATGGTCCGCTCTCAAAGCTTCAGGTAACCCTGTGTACGAACTCGCCTGCGAATTCGCACACGTATTCCCTGAAAACATTCCAGCCGAGTTACCCGCCGATCGAGGCGTTCGACACGAGATCGATCTCGTGCCAGGGTCGAAGTACTGCGTGGCACGGCAGTGGCCACTGTCGCGAGACCAAGTTCAAGCCATCGATGAATTCTTTGAGGGACGCTGCAAAGCTGGTCATGTCCGTGAGAGCAACTCGCCACATTCAAGTCCCACCTTCTGTGTGAAGAAGGCAACCGGAGGCTGGCACATCGTTCACGCTTTCAATAAGCTGAATGACGCCATAATTCCTGCGCAGACACCAATCCCTCGAAAGACCATGGTCCTAGACTCCATGTCTGGTAGCGAAGTCTTCAGTGCGATTGATCTGACTGATGGATTTTATCAGATCTTGATGAGGGAGAGTGATATTCCACTCACAGCGCTCAGTACTCCCAGTGGTATGCTCTGGGAGTGGCTCGTCATGCCACAGAGATTGAAGAACGCTCCAGCGACGTTCAACAGGATGGTTTCACACGTTCTTCGGCCGCTTCGGGGCTTTGCACCCAGCTATTTTGACGATATCGTCGTGCACAGTCGCACTGAGAACGGCCTCAGCGCTGTCGCAGTGCATCTCCACCATCTTCGTCAAGTCTTCCAAACAATGCGAGACAACAAGTTGTACGCAAATCTGAAAAAGTGTGTCTTTTGCGCACCAGAAATCCCAGTCCTCTGCTGCTACGTCAGCAAAGCTGGCGTTCGCGCTGATCCCGAGA